CGTTCCGCTTTCATTAAAGAAGTTACATAAGGTGCATTCTGAACCGTTACAAGAAACAACCGATGTTTCTACCGTTATAAATATAGCTGCCAGTTTTAGATTTTGCAATAATTCTGACAGTATTAATTAGTATAAATATGTTCCTATTAGGTTTGGTAAAAAGAGGTTTTGATAAATCGATTCGCATTTTGTCCGTTTGTTTCATAAGGTTATATCTGGGACACTTTGTGAAGAAGTAAAATTATTAGCTTGGTTGTGAATCTTTTAGTTAATCACGGGGGGGGTTGTCGGATGGCGAGAAGCTCCTTGAGCACACCTCTGCGTCAGTGTGCTTTCTGGAGGCTCATTGAGAGCTATTAAAACGGTGTGCTCGAACAGCCTATACCGAAAGATCCTGTCCTCCTTCTTTTATAATGCGAAGCAGATATAACTGTGCTGCAAAACTGCACTGACCTGATGAAAAAACATATTGGCCGAAATGGCGTCCGATTTAGATTACATCCATCTAGAAGACTCTGCAGACCTTCTCTAATCGTAACCAGGGAAAGAGAGTTTCAGCGGACCACTTGTAATTAAATGAAGCGGATTTTAGAGCGGTTGTGTCATGAATATATTGGTACAATTCTACAGAATTCATAATTCCGCCAGCCAAGAACTGACGACCTTGTCACCGTTGCTTGCAACTAACTCGCTAAGATGAGGTTTTTAGTATTAGCTTCTTATGCCCCTGGTGTTGTTGCCAAAGTCTCGTGAAGTACATTTCGTACACATCTGTATTGCGTCATCTTTCTCTTTAGGAATTAGCTGAATAACTTGTTTGTTGAAATCCTAAAGTCGTCTTCTTTCCAATCTATCTGATATTCAAATCTGGCTTGCAGAGTGGGATTTTATACAGGTGAAAGGAAAGCGACCTTTGGATTCGATGTCATAGTTCTGCGTTCCTGCGAATTTTGCTTCCAGTCTGTCGCTAAAAAAACTTTTACTTGCAGTTCCACAGAAAAATAACATTATCTCTTTCGAAATGTATCCCCAGTGCTCGAGTGGAGTTTTTCACGTAAATCCCCTTAAGCTTTTGGGAGATGGATATGCTCGTTATGACCGAAGTGCTTTTGCCGAAAGTGCTGTTGCCATCACTTGTTGACAAAATCACCATTTTACCATCGTGTTTGCGCCGGTTTGCCCGAACTGCGGTCTTCCGATTGTC